AACAACTTTTGGAAAGCAAGGCTATGGAAACGTCAGCTATACTCATATTATTGTGGAAAAATTCTTCTACTAGTCCTTCATCACCTTAAACGAAATTGGTTGAATACATTTAATAATTTAGCACGGAACTTTCATTTGTCCTTTTGCTTAATCTTTATGTTGTCTTGTCTTGTTCCGAATAGCACTTATCTTAATTAGTAGGCTCAACAGATGGTCTTTTTGCATAAATAACTTTGCGTGAGCTATCAGAAAACATATTTTGCGAGTTATTAGGCAGACTATTTAATATGAGTTGAACAGTCTGGCTTTCTATCACATTTAATTGTACAGTATAGTCTCTTCCATGACTCGATTTCATTGCATCTGCGTAAAGTCAATACTCTTAATAATCATTACATAATTTACTCTTACACAATCATTGAAGTCTGTTATCCTTATATCCAATGCAGTTGGTAGATGGTGATACTCCTGCATTGGTAGCTGGCAATGCTGAGGACAATGATACAGTCGCCTCACCCAACTTGGAGGCTACTAAGAACTTAGGACAGGGCACGGACACCACACCATCGCTAATGCGTGGTCTAATTAATTCACTACCACCTCGCTGGGCCAACTGGGTGGTGCGAAGTTTCACCACATTTCTTCTGATCAGCGTCTTCAGTATTGTTATATACATGGGCCCGCTGGCCCTAGTCCTATTGGTGAGAAAAAGAATAACTTTGAAAATTATTTGCCTAATCTTTTACTACCCTTGATTTGACTTTAAATTTCCGAATGAATCTAGGCGATTGTCTTGTTCGACAACATCGTTTGTTCTACACTAACTCTCGGATAGATTTATTTTAAATTAAAACAAGCTTTGTATCTTTTTATAGACAATTTCACATCTTTGATCTTAATCAAGGCTCACCTAGTTGTAATCTCGGCTTCCGATTAATATAAAGATATTTTTTCACATTTTCACTTGACTTACCAAGGAATATTTTCTAGAACGCCCAAACACAAACATCAGATCTGCTCATTTGCTATTTAGAAGGGCCTGCAAATCAGTCAGTCAAGTAGACTTAATAAAGTATCGGAATTATCTAAAAATATATTTGTCTTAATCCTGCTTGTATAGAGCATAACTACCAATATTTTTTCTGAATTTCTTCTTCAGGTGGCCACGTTAGGCCGATTAAGCATATTTAGTGTTACCTACAAGAACCTGAGATTTGGTGAAAGTAGCCAGTTGTGAAAGTTTTATCAATTTCCTCGAAGTTATATGACTCGTCTCATGTAGCTATAAATCTCTTATAGGCATGTATCACTGATGACTGATACGTTACTCACTCGAACTTTTTTCCAAAACCATTTATTTTATTTTGACGTAAAACATATACTGCAAATTTCTTCAACTCTGGCTACATTGGGATTTAATTTCAAAGACAGAAGGTCTTCATCAGCCTTAACTATAATTTAAATCATACTTTCTTTTCGAAGATATGAAGACCAAGATGGTATGGCCTTTTGTGTGGTCACAGTCTCCTTTCGTTATATATAAGTTGTTTGAACTTGTTTTCTCAACTTGGTCATATTGGTAGGAAGACTTATAGTAACGCACCTCGTACGGAATCGATTGTATTCATGACAATTTCCAGAGTCGAACTGTAGACGTGGTACATTCCCAGACGTTTCGCCGTAATCGTCAGTGAGTCTTGCCACTCTTAGCACCATACTATAACTCGTCAAAGAGACAAATGAAACCGATCCTTTGACCAAATGTGTGCTAAACAGTTTTGGTATCTCTCCTGTCCTGGGCTATTCACCTATCCTATATCCTCGTATCATACCTTCACTATTATAATTTTTTCTTGCTTATTTGAATGTAGTGTGGTATGCCTTTTTGAGCGGCTTTCATGAGAACC